TTCTTGCATTGTTCAGGGGGTTGGACTAGATGACCCTGGAGATCCCTTCCAACCCTATGATTCTATGATCCTGCTTTTTGTTTCAGGAGCTCAGGAGAGGGTACATGATTCTTGCTCCTCCTCTATTTTATATTCACACCAGCCCCTGTAAAATAGATTAGGCTAAGAGCCAGAATGAGAGAATGTGACTGGCCCAACATCACCCAGTGCTTTTGATGGCAAGTGAGGATTTGAACCTGGATCTATCAGGACCCAGTCCAAAAGTTTAACCACTGTACACAGATGTATCTATTTCCAGATAAATGCGACTTGATTACTATAGTCTGGCAACCTGTTATTTGGGGGTTGTAGGAAAAGCACTTGAGTGTTTTTATATCCTAGCACTGATCTGGATGGGAACATGTACTGTCTGATGTTGGATTTGACTTGCTACTAGGCTGTGAACCAACCCTAAATGGCTGCATGAACAGATCTTCAATATGGAGGACTTACAATGTATACAAAGTACTTTACCTATATACCTTATATATATACACCTTACTGTCCTCCTTACAACCACCTTGTAACATGATCCAGTATTATTATCCCCACATTGTAGAAGGCAGCCTCAGACTACTTGGTGAGCTCAACAGAGACCAGATGGGAGCCAAGACATTCTTAGTTTTCAGCTCAGGCTTAGCCATGAAGGAATTCACATAATGAGTACAATTTAGACGAAGATTACACTAGACAAGACACTATTAAGGGATAATTTATGTTGGGATACTGGTAGAAAATTACCCTGAACAGTACTTCTCATTTAAATTTTGCTTGCTTAGAATTAACTATACTTTAAAATAATATCAGATATGCCATGACATCATGCACAGGATGGCAATATTTCTCAATTTACAATAAAATGTTGGGCTGGATCCAACCAGTGAAAAAGGAAGCAGGGGTTCCCTTTGACCACCCCAAAAAAGTTTATGTTGGGGATCATGGGAACTGTATGGACAAAAAGCCATGTGGGTTGGGATTTTTAGTCAGGAGGAAAACTGGGAGGTGAATGAAAAAGCTTGCTGGATTGAACCCATGGCTACTAAAAACTAAAAGAAGCCAGGATGCAGAACATTAAAGCTCACATTTCCGACTATCTGATTTCCATAACAGAAATTAAGGTAATGCTAGTAATGCCCAATATAATAAAGCATTAGTGAATTAATACTCAATACTACTGAATACTTTTTCTCCCAAATGCCAGCTCGGATCTTGAACCCACCTCCTCATGGTAAACATAAGTAAAATACACCTAATTCTGTGATATTCATTTCTTTCTGCTTTTAAAGTGTTGTATCCTTTAAAAATTGAGAAGTCTAAATTCCTGCATTGTGGGTAAAATGGCATCTCAAAATGATCTAGTAATGAAGTATGAAATTGTGCATTGCGGTACAGGGTTCTAAATTTCCAACTAAGGCAGATGCAAAAGAAACCCACGTTACAGCAGGGAATTCCAGCCTGGCATGGATAACTGAAAATAAAGAAGCCAGCAGTGGAAATAACAGGTCCTTGATTTATTAGATTTCCATACGCTAATAGAAGCAATGTGCTGACTGGTGATAAAATGTATCAAGAGAAAAGAGTCATGTAACGAGCTACAGATTTAAAAATGAAGACAATAATAGGAGAAAACTGGCTACAGTCTGACAAACCCATACCCTCTGAAATTAGTCAGCATTCACACGTAAGCTCCCATTCCATCCTACTTGACTTCTGCATTAATGCTCAGGTCAGCAATTTTGTCTCTGTCTTACTCCTATACTGTAATTACTTCCTGACTGGTCTGTTTTTTCATTCCTGCAGCTCATGATGGGAGTGGCTATACAATGCCATTGTAATGAAGGAGGATATATGAAAGAGGCTGCATTTTATAAAGATGTTTTCACCAAATACTTCAGTCTGGAAGAACAGAAGTAGTACCATCCAAGTAATATATATCTTCTCCTTGGTCATTTGCTTGTCTGATGTGCTGAAACTGCTACTTAACTGTCTAGAGATTAATGCTCTGGCCCCAGATGAAATGTGAGAACTCCAAAGAGAAGCAGCACTCCTAAGGAAGATCTAGCAACATACACCAGTGAGTCAGTTAGATGAAATCCACCTACACTGAAAAAATGGAGAGGGTATTTCCAGCATCTTCCTGGGAGGCTCAGCCAGATGCTTAGGTATTTTCCTTGTTAAGCAGTCCCACGGGCTAAAGAGAAAACTGGTGCAGTTTCTGCCACTGGTGCAGTTCCTGCCACTGGATTGTGCTCTGTTAATTCCCAAACGCAGGAGCCATTAAAGTCTTCCCTCCCAACAATTTCTTCAAGAAACAACTGAGATTAGGGGCATGGTCTGACAAATGACACAGAAGGCCCCCATGTATTGACTTCTGACAATTATTCAATAATTATGAACAGCACATACTGCTAGCAGACACATCCCTTCAGGGGACACTGACAACACAGACACAGCTTAAGATGTTGTACATAAGTAGAACTGTCCTAACATGTTTTAATGGAGAAATATCTGCTTTCAGCCTCTGCAGAATACAACTATTACTTCTCAGGGGGAACAAGAGAAGAACTAACCCTCCAGGTGAAGATTAGTAGTTATGATTTGGTCTGCCCATCACACATCAGAACAGAGATGTGAATCTCTTAACTGTTGTGACTTAGTACACTAGACTTCCTTAATCTGACCCAGTTCTGAGTCAGTTAATTACAGTCTCCAGTGATGCAAATAATTTGGTTGCCTTACACAGAGAAAACAAATGCTGTGTATGGAGTGGGGGTGGAGAGAATAGGGCAAAGAGGGAGACCCAAGTCATCCTAAGAGCTGCCATGATATTTGTATGTCAGCAATTTTAGGAAATATCACAACTGTGAAAGGCACAATTTAGGAGAAAACAGAGCGCAAGGTATGTTATTAACCATAAATTACAAGAAATAAATGACATAAGATGGGAAGAGAACATTTCCTTCTCCCGAGTGACTGATTTTTTTATCCTAACAGCAGAATGAACATTTGAAAATTGCTGATCAGATTAATAAAAAGATATTGCTTCAAAAATATTTGGAGAAGAGACTTCTGGTACAAATGGGATGCTAGAGTAAAAATGAATATATCCAAGAGAATAATACAGATTACTGTTAATGAGAAGACATAGTTTGGGAGATTCTGGACAAATTGCTTCAGCATTTCTACTGGCAGAGAGCAGCCCCACAATTCACATAGAAAACCTGATTACTGTATACCTGCTGGTGGAACAGTAGTGTTTCCTGCAGTAAATACAAAGCATAGATGTCCTATATACAGCTTTAAATACCCGCATTTGGGGTGCAGCTTCCAAATACATGTATAATTTATCTGATGCCAAGTTTTCAAATCAATCTAAACATTCTCCTAACTTAGTTCTGTATATGAGTCATAATTAACAATATAAACATTAACAATAACTGTCTTAGATAATGATAGGAAGTTAAAGGACTCAAGAGACAGTTAACGGGCACTTGGTTTCATATCTAACTTCCCTTAGTACCCATTTTGGGGCAACCTCCCTGTTCACTTCTTTTACCTGTTCTAAATAAGAGAGGAAAATTAATCAGATAAATACTATGAATAAAAATTTGGTAACACAGTATCTTTCAAGTGGACCACCCTCTCCTCAACATTTTCTATATACTCCCATAATACCTTAAAAGCTAACAATTTTATTATGATAAATCCTAGGAAACAAGAGTCTATTTTATCAAATCCAGAGTAGCGACATTTTTTTAAAAAATGAACATATACTTGGGCCCGAAATAGAAGGAAAGATCTGTTTTCCAAGATAAGAGTAGATGAAAAACATGTCCTGGATGCAGAGGTAACTTCAGTTGACTGAATCGTGGTTTATAGGTAAATCACTTGGAGCCAACAAGCCCATTAATACAAATACCTTGGCACACCCAAGACAGTAAGATGGTACTACTTCGTATCACTTTTTTTCTGGGTATATTTAAATAATATATATTTAAATACGTCATACCAGAGGCAATCACTTTTTTTCTGTATAACTGTCTCTGTTATGGCGTGTTTAAATATATATTATTTAAATCAGATTAGGTAACAGGTGAACCTGAAATGTGAGCAGCAATTTTGAGACTAACTTTTATGCAGCTGTCACTTCCCACAAGTCCCCCTCCACACTGTCAGACTCCTTTTTGATTTATGGAGATTTGAAATATATTATCATATTAACAAACAGGAACAAAAAGATATTTTACGTCCTAGAGCTAAAGAATCTATGATGGACTGCAGTTATTTTAAAATAAAAACTACCTGTAGGGCCAAGTCATCCCCCACCCCCATGCAGCTGTTGCTGGAAAACACACTCAAGGCTGCACCAAGTTCCAGATGGAGCAGTAGTTGTGCACGGCTGCTGCCGGCATCTATCCTCCTCCATGCATACTGACTTTTAGCTCATGATTGTAACTGGCTAACTACACTGACAGTGTCTGATGCACTACAAGCCTGTGTGTTTAAGGAAATCATACAGCTTCTCAGTAGAACGTATCTTGTCTATAATTCAGCAAGTGCCCAGATTTTTGGCAGCCATCTAATGCTGACAGAATCACAAAACACAGCTCTCTATTTTGCTAACATATTACAGACTCCACTCAGAAGGGAGGCATACCCTGTCAAACCATTACCAGACATAAAGCAAAAGGAAATATGGACACATCCATGCTGTCAATGGAGTGAGAATCCACAGTGTCTCTGGCTACCTTTTACCAAAAGCAAAATGTTCCAAGGATAAAGCCCAATACTTACCACCAACGAAGGGGTCTGGGCACAGAGAAGAAGTCATATATAAAATGAAATTCTAGTGTTAAGGCTGTGTTACACAACAATTTTACAATGAAGACTAACATATTGCATTCCTTAGCTGCATTTGTATACAATGTCCTCTGTCAAACTAGTGATTATCCTGCACATACCTTTTGACCTCCTGGAGTTTCAACACTGTGATGCTCTTTTAGTTTTTGTTCTTGCTCCATGATGTCTTTTAAATGTTCATTCACCTAAGACAACAAACAAAATCCAATTAAAAGAATCTGATATTCTTGCTGAGGTGAAAGCAACACATACTTAAGGAATGATATGACGTATTAGCATAATTTTATCTCCCAATACATCATGGATGCTTTCGATATAGCAATGATTAGATTTTATAAGATAGGATACAACAGGGTAACTCTCAACCCATTTGGGGTGTATTCATTTTAAAGTTTTTATATCTAGATTTCTGTACCTTAGAGTTATGAACTCTGGAAGATAAATGGACTCTATAAAGTCCTAAACGGCCTGGGCCAAGCATGGCCTCCTCCTTTATACCCCAATGCAATACCATAGACCACCTAAAGGCATCATCTTTATAATACCATTTTTACATTTTTGCTGGAAGATAATGGACATGAAGGGACATGAAGGCTGCCCACTCTAAGGAAATCCATCTGCTATAGACCTTTGGAAACCTGAGCAACTTTCAGAAACATTTTAAGATCTATTGATTAGATTGGTCTTTGATGGCAGGAATGAATATATATAGCTACTTATTGTTTTCAACTGACTTCTATATGCTTATATTGTTTACCGTTGTCCACTGGTACAAGTACGGTACTAGATAATGAAAATGAAGTGTATGTGTGTGTTTGTGTACATGTCCCACCCATCACTTAAATTAGTCTATGAGAGAATTAGCTTTAACTGTCAATAGTTAAACCAGCGGTCATACAACATTGCTTGAATACAGCCACAAGATGTTGCGGTACCACTAATGGCTGCTAGAGAACTTAGCAGTTGCCTAAGGAAAGCACAAGGAGCCAAAATGAGATTCCTTTCAGTACTATATACGCAAGGTGTGTTTCTGTAGATGTGGGAACAGGACAGTCATCATTCCAAAGGCTTGTAAACAAAATAATGTCTCTGGGCCATCAGCAATTTCAGCTTGCCCTGATCAAACTGTTCTGCATTATTTCAGTGACTAGGGAGCAAAGGCCGTTGTGGACGGAGACAACGAGCGCCTAGAAAGGTAGGGTGGGTGGGTGGAAGAAGAAAGGAAGGAAGGAAGGAAGGAAGGTAGGAAGGGGGGAGAGAGAAAGAGAGAGAGAGAGGAAGGAAGGAAGGAGAAAGAGAGAGAGAGAGAGAAAGGAAGGAAGAAAGTGGAGGGGAAGAGAGAGAGGAA